AATTAAGAGTTTTGTTATTTCATTAGAGTATACCATGTTGTTTAATAGAAAGGACACACTATTATAAATTACATACTATTATATATTATAAACATTATTTAATGAAAATAAAATTTATCTTTGAACTAAACAATATTTTGTTTGGCTTTAGATTAAATATTGTTTCAATGAAAGAAAGAGATTTTTTTTTTTAATATTGTTGAAGCATGTAAAGAGCATTATTTTTTTCAAAGAATTTATTAAACAAATATTTTATATAAGATAAAGCTATTTATTATTTCAAAAATCAAACGATCGAATTTGTTGAATCAATAATTGGTTTATTTGGACTACTTCAAAAGATAAATTCCTCTGAATCTAATAAAATTTATTAGATCCAAAGAAATCGTTCTCTCTGTGTGCTAATAGAGCAATGTTTCTTCATAATCCAAATATGCAAAAATATTACAAACTCTTTATCTAGCGACTTCTCATTTATTTTTAACTAGAAAAATAAAATTAAATACCAACATTAAATAAGTAATGCGATCTTGTTTATTATTTTTTTTTGTTGCTTTTTGTAAAATGTAAGCAATTGCCTGAGAACGAGAAACCAAGAAAAATATTATTTAAAACTATTGATAAGAATAATCACACATTAGAGGAAAATTAAATTATCTCATTAATATTGTTATTGCTGACAGCATTGTCCATTGTAAAAAATTAAGAACTTTAATAAAATTCTTGGTTGGCAAATTTAATAATATATTTCTGTAAGATCTATTATCTATTAAAAATACATAATTAGATAGTTATTTCCAACAATCAATTAAATTAAAATTTTTTATCTCTTACAAATTTTATAATTTTCATACATTTTATAATTTAATGAATAAACGAGCGAATAAATAAACAAATAGGAATTAATTGTCATCTGCCTCTGAAAAATTAAAGATGAAGTCTATCTTCATACAGACGAGATTGACACAAGGAAGACAACAGCAACCTCGGTCAACTTCCTCAAAAATATATGAAACGAGCAACAGCATGTCTTATCAAGAAGGTGGAGCTACGAAAGCTCCGGCTTCCCTCTCTTTCTTTGGTTCTCTTTCTGTAGGCGGGCGACATTCGTTTCGTTCGGCGACGTTCTCGTTGGACACCATTACGTTGGGTGCCGGATGTAGATTGGTCGTTCGATGCTGCACGGTAGGGGCGGAGCCTAGCAACACCTGATCCCCACCGAGTTGAGTCTATATGTCGGATTTACTCCTCAGCTAGTAAACGTTAGAGTTACGTTGTCAGTTCGATATCGATGTCGGGCAAAACGCGTTCGTCGGACATCAGCAACAACGTCCTTTTATTTCATCCGTGTCGCGGTTATTGTGCCGCTAAGTGTCAAGTGAGAAATACATTAATACATTAATGTACTTCTACATTTTTCTGGTGACTCAAATTACTTGTGTTAAAAAAGACGGACGTTCGTGTTGTGCATAAGCTAAGTGTTTCCAATATCCACAACTGACATGCCATCGTTTCGTGACGACATCATCTCTGGAGAACCCTCGAATGCCGTATCGAACCTCAGTAACATCGCCAATATGGTGCCGCATTATAATCAGGCGAGCCTCGCGTATCGCCAGCAGCAGCAGCAGCAGCAGCAACAGGTCGCTGATAACCAACAGCAACATCAACTGATAATGCAGCAGACGCACCAGCAAACGCCAACGCAACAGGTCCAACCACACACTGCGGTTGCGGTTGCGGCTTCCACCGCCATCGAAGGGACTCAATACTGGTACGGATATCCATCCAGGGCAATACCCGCGACGCCGGCCTTGCATTCTCAGCATCAGCCAAGTCCGATCGCTCCGCAATTTTTTAATCACCCGGAAATGCTGCCCGGGTGGCATTACACAACTCAGTATTCACCGTATCTACAGTATCAGCCGCAACACCTACATTTTCAAACGCAATCCCAATTACAGCAGCAACAAACGCAAGAATTGGAAACACACTCTCCATCCGAACAACGCGTTCAGCAACACGTGCCGCAACAACACATACACCAGAATTCATCGCCGGAACAACTCTACCAGCAACACTCATCCCCGCAGCAACATCTCCAACATAGTTCGCCACCTCAACTCTGTCAACAGCATACGTCGCCTCATCAACACCTTCAGCAAAATTCGCCACCCCATCAACTCTGTCAGCAACATAGTCAACAGTTGACGACTTCGCCGCCGCACTTGCAGCAAGATTCTCCGCCACAGCAACACACGCAACAATCAAATTCATTGCCACAACAGCGCATTCAGCAACGTCCATTGCCGAAGCAGCACTTGCAAGAAAGTTCGCCGACCCAGTTTTTCCAACAAAATTCACCACCGGAATACCTTCAGACACAGGTACCATCGAGAGAACAGGAATATGAAATTTACAGACGACGGATGTTGAAATGGGGCATCAGAAATATGAATATCGATATGGCGATTCGCAATCAATATTCGTCAACGAGCACCAGAATGAACGGCAACGTAGACGGCAATATGAACGGCAGTATGAACGGCAGCCTGAATGGTAGTATAAATGATAGCAATCACAGCAATAACAGTACTTCTCCTACAACACCGCCTAATAATTTTCATATTGTATACGATGACTTGCCCTGCACATCTCGCAACATGAACCTATCGTCCACATCTGACAACATGAACCTGCTGCCTACAGAGATGAACCTGCCGTCTACATCGAGGGATATGCCATCAACATCCAGAGATATGCCGGCCACTTCAAGACGTCAACAACTATATACATCACACAGAGTTCAAGGGAGGAGAAGTCCATACGAATGGATGAAAAGGCCATCGTATCAAAATCAACCTAAGCCAGGTAAATAAAATTGTTTCTTGTTACATTAAATCGCTTTTAAGAGAAATTAAAAGAATACGACAAACGAAAATGTTTAAAAATTAACCTTGATATATTTAAAAAACTTGTAATTGCATGAATAAGTGAAACCTGATAATTTCGCATAATGTAAGAACCGTCGACATTGTTGATTAAAAATTAATTTTGAAATTGATCTTTTTAAAAGATTTGTCGCCTAACAGAATAAACAAAGTTATCAAAGAAATAAAACAAAACCAAAAAAAGAAATTGTATGTTTCATATTTTCACAATTCTTTTTGTCAAAAATAAAATTCGTATGATATAAAACTAAACGTTTGATTTAAAATTATTATTTATTCTAGAATTTATTTATTGTCATACATTCTGTAAAAATTATAGCAAAATTTATAACATTTCAAGTGTATACAAGAGTACTTTTTCTATACCTCTTTTCGGTAAAAAAAATAAGTCATATCGAAATTAATGTTAACTTTAGTGAATATCAATTTGATTTGTTTATTGCACATTATATGTGTACATTAAATGCTATTTTTTTCTATTTTTATTTTTTTACACATATACAAATTTTGTCTTAATCTATTAAAAATAAATTCAATTATAAGAATAATAAACATATCACCAAAATTTTTACCTCGATCGTCGTTCTTTTATTCCCGTGATCCCGTTTTATTTTTATCTTATCTTGCAATTAACTAAATGTAATATAGCGCAATTTGCGCGGAAATTGTTAAACCACAATTAAATGATTTAAAATGAAAGCAATTAATCTAAGATGTACAGAATGTTTCTGAAATGTTTAAAATTAAATTTCATCAGTGCAAATATTCTGCTCATCATATAAAACAAAGGAATATTTTATAAATTTCACAAATATCTTTTTTTTGACAAAAATTACTATATTAAATTCTACAAATTTGTGACTATTAAAAATTGTAGAATAATTAAATTTATACGGATTTTAAGAAATCACGTTTTAACCATTGTTTTAACGTAATGCTTATCTCTTTTTTGATGTAAACAAACGCTTAAATTTAGACAGATTTTAAATTGAGATAATCGAGGAAAAGTAAACATATATCCTTTATTAAAATATCGACTGATTTGATAATAAGAAATCGACTCGCGTGTATACTTGAGCTTTGCCTATATATATAATTAATCTTCATTTTCAAGAGACCGATTAAGAAATCGGACGATTAAAAAGCCATGTGATGAAGTTACGTTACCTAATGAGAACTTCTTTCGCGTGCATATCGCGCTTGGTCATAAACACATCTCCAGCGGTCTAGATACGGCAAACCATGTAAACACGGTAACAGACGAGCAAACATTTAATTGCTCTCAAATATTTGTAAGATAATCCCTTCTCTCCCCCTCCCCTTCCCCCCTGACCTCTCGTCATCCGGCTCAATTTTTTACCAAACTCGAACGAAAATCCTAGCCGCTCGCATAGAACATGTCCCGAATCAACACACGGCGAGGAAGAGTTAATTTTCACTGTGCTTTGCAACGTAATTCGGTATATCCCAATTGTATGAAAATTTGATTAATTTTCTGATTTAACATCACACACATAATGAAATAGATTTCTGATGAGAGAGATGTCATTTCCATTGTTACAGCATGCAATGCCGAAACCGTCGGCAGCGCGGATTCAACGTCGCCAATTAATGAACTCTGTTGCCGACTTGAAATTCTCGGTACGAATTAATCAATTGTTATGAATAATATTATCTTTGATGTTTGCATGCAGTATAATTGCATTGCATGCATACTTTAATTGTGCATGCAGTTTCTAATAATTTTTTTACAGAAAAAATGTATTTTAGATGTACTCCAGTTCAAAAGTATGTCTGAGAAAAATAATAAACAATGATGAAAAGTATGTTTAACATTTCAAAGAACCAAAGAAATTTAAATTTTTAATATATATATATATATATATATATATATATATATATCGTTGACTTATTATATTTTATAACGACTGGTAATGGCTAACAAGGCCTCATGTACAAAAAGTTAATTAATAAGTATAACAATTAAAGATGATAATATTAATATAAAAGTGCTCTTGTGTCAAAAGATACGTTTTGAAATATTGAAACAAAAAAATATTTTATAAATTTCACAAATATATTTTTTTTTACAAAAATTACAAAAATTCTAAAAATTTGTGACTATTAGAAATTCTAGAATAATTAAATTTATACGAATTTTAAGAAATCATTTTAACGTAATGCTTAAATTATCTTTTTTTTTTATGTAAACAAACACTTAAATTTAGACAAATTTTAAATTGAGAATTTTAAATCGAGGAAAATTAAAAATATATCCCTTATTATATCGACTCGATTTGATAATAAAAAAATCAACTCGCGTGTATACTTGAGCTTTATATAATTAATACCTATATAATTAATACCTATAATATAATTAATCTTCATTTTTCAAGAGACCGATTAAGAAATCGGTACGATTTAAAAGCTATGAAGTTGATGAAGTTACGTTACTTAATGAGAACTTCTTTCGCGCGCATATCGCGCTTGATCATAATGCCGAATGATTCCCCTCTTTAAAAAAAAAGTGCGAACTAACAGCGAGCCTCCTAGCCACCCCTAGTCAATCTTTGTCCGCATCAGTATTAGTATGCTAATGCATTCAGACTGCTTTGCCCCAAATCTCATTATTCTTCGCCGTGCACTTTGCCTCCAAGCCCTTCGCAGAATCCGTCCCAATTCTTCGTGTTCACGTCTCTCTTCGGTTATTTGCATTTTACCTCACGCGTGCAGCAAGTACGCATTAAGTACCTTGAAACGAGCGTTCTATGTCTTCCAAAGGCAATTATCTACATTTTATGGTTATATTACTGGCAGAAGCCGCGCGGCAGACCACGACAGTACAAAAAATGCAAGGCGTGCATTACAGTTTCGTGAGGGACGGGAGGCTTCGTGCATGCGCTTTCTCGTTCGTGAATCTCATTCGTGAATCGCCATTCGATTCTGTTCCGTTCCGTGAGAGCGATTCTACGATGGCAGCACGCAATTTCTACCGCTTTTATGGCGCCTTCGTCTGGCCGTCTGGTCTTATTAATGCGATTAAAAATATCACTGAATAGAGCGAAGAAAGAAGATTCGATAATTTCACTAAAGGATATAAAGATATCGATTATTATTTCTTACCGATAATTATAGAAAATAATCATTTGAACATTGTTCAAATAATAATTTTTTATCATTATTTTTGTCATCTCTCAGTGAAAGCTATTTGTATTATAGAATATCTTTTTCAATGAAATAACATTTCATCCTGATTTTACGAATCAACTCCGTGAAATAGTGTACTTCGATTTCACGTAACTTAAAACTCTTCATTACGGTCGAATATTTTGACAACAACAAGATCAACGGAGGGTTGGTGCATTATCGAGTCTGGTTCAACTTTGTCGTCAGTCGATTCACAGCTTTCGAACCCATGAACGTGTTGGTGTGACTCGATTCGACTCGCAGCACGCTATTAGAAATCGGTATTTCCGTATTAAAGGAAGTTATAATTCGTCGGTGTCATGAGTCTCGAATTGAGCTATAATGGATGCGAATTACACGATGAAATAACATAGTAAGAAATTCTGATGAAAATTTAACACATTCACAAAGTTGGACATTCGACTAGAAATTCATTGTCAGTTGAGATATTTAGGAATTCACATTTTCCAAGAATAGTTTCGGCATTTTTCCTTTAACCTTTTTTTTCATTTTTTTTTCTTTCTTTTTTGTACTATTTTTTTTTTTTTTATAGTCGACCAGGCGCCATATGCATCCAAGGTTATTTCCTCAAAAAAATTATGGGTTATTTTATAGTCTTTTTTGCACTCACTTGCATAGAATTTAAGTGACTAAATTGCAAAATATTAAATCAATGATGTTAAAAGCTGTTGAGTTTTGCTTGACCACGCGCTCTGCAGGTATACGATAGAATTTTCTAGTTTCTGATCTTTTGTCCGTCAATATTTTGTCCTCTACTTATGATTTATTACATTTATTGCTGATCATAAAATGAGAGAAAAATAGACAAATCGGATCATTTAACATATGTGTATTGCTTGTTTCATCAACTGCTAAAACTTTTACTCTTTTCTTACCTTCAGCATATTATCTTTTTTTTATTTCACGCGCGTATTATACATCTTATTTTTATCATATATTTGCATAAATATAGTTTTATGAAAAATAATAATTAAACTAGAATTCTCCAAAAATGGCAAAAGACTTGATTATAAAACTTAAAAAAAAATCACACGTTAAGTTTGGATTAAATGTGCCCACAAATATTCATTTAGCAGCCATATTACGGAAAATGTTTCGGGTGTATTACAAGGATGTTAACAATTTATAAAATATTAAAAATAAGAAAAAAACGAAGGAAGTTCTTCTCATGCGCAAGAAATCGTGCGGTCGCAACTACGCGGTAGACAATTTCTCTCTTTCTCTCCATCTCTCCTTTTCTCTCTCTTTTTTTTTTTCGTTCGCGGACGTTTGATATGCGATATACAAATGCGAAGTGGCACAATAGAGGTAATTGTGACGCCACTGACGAATGGCACCCGCGCGAGTCGGCGCGCCGCGCCGGTTCGGCCGACACGAGATATCGCCGGGGGTTGTCAAACGCCCGCAGGAAAAGCGGGGCACGCGCTTTGCCATTCCGCGGCGTGAAATGGAAGAGCAAACGCTATAATGGGGTGGCAACGAGTCCCAAGAGCACCGTTCTCGCCCCTTGCGCTCGCGTCTTCTCTCCTCGTCTCTCACGCCTCTCATCCTCCCGCGTCTCGTGGCGTTCGTAAATCCGTCGCGTTTCTTTCTCTCATTCCTCTCCCCCCCCCCCTCTTTCGTCCCCGTCACGCTCGTTCGCATTTCGCACACGGATACTCGAGAGAAATATCTCCGGTGGAAATTCCGTTCGTTCGAAAATATAGACAATGACGGGGCCAATGTCGGTATGAGCTAGATACGCTTTAGGAAATCGTCCCCGACGTTCTGTTCGCGATGGTGAAACTTTACGCGCGGTAATCGGTGATTTCGCATTAGCCTAGATCGTGACTAGAAATGCTCCCGACATTATAATTATTCATTTTAAAGTATGAATTCGATTAAAATGTCAGAATTTAAGATAATACAATTGTGCTATTGAGAGCACTCGATGTAGCATCGTGATGTAGTTGGCGCGTCACCAGGGATAATAGTAGGTTCTCCGATATCGAGATGAAAAAAAAACGCCGACAGTAACCTTTCCTGACTCATACGCTTACGTGAGCTCGCATGCGTGAAAAAAACCGACGACTCGCCCTCTCGAACAACAGCCTATACGCCGTACAAACTATCCGAGATTTGCCGACGGACTCGTTCGAATGTAAAAAGTTCAACGTGAAGTCGCACAAAGTTGCTCCGTTAACCATGAAAAAGTTCCACAAACTAGAAACATCGATTTTCTAAGTTTCTCCTTTGTGTCGGATGTTCGTAGCAAAAGAATCGACTATTCATCTTTGATATATTAAAACAATTCTAATTTATTTTTATATTTAACCTTAATTATTTTTATTCTATTATCTTTTTATTGTCACAACCAATGTCACATACATTATATTTATACAATTTTGATCGTAAAATTACTTAATATAGTTAATTATTTATATTGCCGCTACAGTAATTGCATAATGACGAAATTTAATTTATCATTTCTCGAAACAATGTGATATTATATTTATCTTTAAATAAACAGCTGATTTGTTCAGTTGAATTCTCATTGTATAATAGGTGAAGAGTACGACTCTTTCGCTTCGATAAAAATTGATTCGGAATCGCAAAATTATCTTTACGAGTGTGGCGCGGTGAGTTCCTGTCGCGCACACGCATGAGAAATCTATCGCAATTAAGACCAGTACCGCATACAGTTTGGAATTTTTTTTTTTTATTCGATTACGATCTTCAAAGATAAAAAGTCTGCCTTTTGATAAGGTTTAAGGATGTTTCATATGTTTGTTTACCTGCATCAGGCTACGCGACATTTACTCTTAACGCATTAAATATTTGCACGTTTAACAATGTGCGCAGCGTAATAGAAATAAAAAACAGAGAGAAAGGGAAAAATTCAAATTATATTACGTGATATCATATTGACAAAAACTATGACGAAGAGTGTCTAATATTTATTTCTCGTTTATCTTGTGTAACACTTTATTGATATAACAAAGATTCAAATTACGCATATAGTATGGGATAATTCATTATATTTACAAACATCCGTTCTAAAGAAATGTTTTTTTTTTTTAAGAAAAAATAGAAAATTATTATACATAGCTATTTATCGTTATCTTTATTTCTTCACAATTATTATTCTTTCAACTTTGGATATATTTGACTAATATCTTTAAATTAGATACAATGTATTTTGTTTTACACAATACGGAATATATTTTCTTTTTAATCTGTAGGAAAATTGACTTATAATTTTGTTGTTAAACTTTGTAACTTGTGTCAAAATGAAAAACGAAAATCAGCTGATCGAAAATCGAGATAGCGGATATAGTACTTAGTAGCGGACATGTAGATTTATTATACAATACATCTTCCACATCTAGGGTCTGTTGCAAAGATGTGATTCAAGTATTATTATAGATATAAAGAGCTGAAAATGCCCGTGATAACAATCTTTCTCAATCTGAGAATGAGTAGATGAAAACTCAAAACCAGACAGTCCGTAATATATTGCTTTGTTATTTGAACAGATTACACGGATTTTAAACCAACGCGACCGCATGAGTATAACACGTATATTGCTCAAATGTCAACGCGTATCGTCTAATACTCCAAATCCTCATTGTTTACATAACATCGAATTTCCGTAAGAATTTTCGTCAAAAATTAATTACGTACAGAAGAAGTTAATTAAAATCTTTCTTTATAAAATTAAAGATTTTTTCTTGATTTTTTCTTTTCTTGATATTAAGATTTAATTTCACGATCGTTGAAGTTAAGAAAGCTTTAATTAAACATTTTTTAATATTTTTATATGTTCTCCCAAATAAAATCACAAGAGTATATATTATTAATATTATTATTCATTATTATTGCTCGTTGAAGTATTCTCTTCAATTTCACGGAATGAAAAGAGAAAGGTATTGTCATCGTCTTAGTTTGAAATTGATCTATCTGTTGGTGCGTAGATACTGAATATGTTAATTAGAGATCAAAAGCAAATATCAGACTAAAAAAAAATACATAAATAATTTACATATGATCCATTTTTGCAATTCTATCGAATACGATTGTAATTGCAAAGGTGAAAATTAGATTTATAGCAAAATTATAACTCGCAATCTGGTCGGCGAAATGCTTTCGTATGATTGGTTGGTTTTCAACAGTTAACCATAACCCGTAACTCGTCGTGTGGTTTCGTCTTAAGGTCGCTTTCTTATTCGTAACACCACGAAGGCCTCGGAGTTTCCTTATCGAGGAGAGGTGGATTAATGTGCACGCCTTTGATCTCGCCGGCGGAGTCTTATCTAATCGTGTCCCTCTCTCGAGCCATCTCTCGCCGTTTCCCACACACACACACACACACACACACACACACACACACACACTACTC